GTTTGTAAAATTTTCAGGCAGCTGACAAACTGTAATGACTATAATTGTAGGTTTTTATATGGAAACTGATTTTATTCTCCTTTTTTTATGAGATACAGATGGAGCATCTGATGGTAAGGAATCGGCGTCGCCCATAAACACCCGAAACACCAAAGGCGTTACAAGTGCGTTAACGGCCTTTTGGGGATCAGGAACTTGAGGATTGTTCAGGGATTTGGATTCCCGTGAGATGGGATCCGAGGATCAGTTATCGCATAATTTCCGAACTATAGGCTTCCAATGGCAATTTTAATCAAAATATTCATTTGTTATTTTTACTCGTAAAGAGTATTAAATCCTCGAGGCTACGACACGACACGTGCCACAACATTCAGTTACCAGCCACTGTGCAGACGAAACAAAACGCATCACTCAAATATTATCTCAACAATATCGGAACCAATCAATCAACGCTAATATAATAAAATATATGAACCGCACACGACACCGATATCGTGCGTCGGCGCGTGCGCAGACCGTTATAAAGGATAACTTTAAAAAAAGAAGGTGTGACGTAACGATTCGTGACTCCACACGGGTAAGCGTGACTCTTGTGACCACATGCCGACGTCTGTGCTGTGTTTAATCTGTGTTGCCCTCAAACGATATAGATAAACAATAGCTAACGGTTTTGACGGTTTTTTGGCAATTTCTGAGTTTGAACTTTGCGTGTTTTTATCGGTTTTTTACTGTTAGTGTGTAGGGTTGTGCTGAATGAGCGTTTTTTACTGAAATGTGATCACGTTTGCACGTTTTACATTTTATGTTGAGGATGTTGTCAGTGGATTTTAATGTGATCATACTGTATACATTTCTAGACGTGTTGTTCCCTGAAAATTTCTGCTTCCTGAAACTTCGTGCTCCAACATTAATCCATTGAAATAACTGGACTTTAAGGGACTTCTCATTTGGCACTTTTACTAAACAATTATAGTTTCAACCTAGTTTTTACTATTCCATGGTTTCAAGTTCCATTGTCCCGTCGACAGTCACAAAATAATATGATCAAATCAAACTCCATGCAGACACAACACGACGTTTCAACTTCAAAAGATAAAGTCAATTCCAAAATCACAACACTATCGCATTTGACAATTCAATAACCGAATAACAATGGCGGCTGCGGCGAAAATTGGAACTAATTTATAGCGAAGAAAGTACGACTACTAGCGCCATTGTCAGGGGTAACATTGTTATGCCCAGTGTATCAGGTCACGAGAAGTCACGATACTCTTATCTATAGGTAGAAAGTGGTTCGGTATTGGCTTCATGAGTCGGTATGGTTCTGATGGATTTGGTTCTACGCAATAGATAATAAGTCACGATTGATTGTCCTATACTCTTATGAACTAATATTGGTGTGGATTAAGTTGTAAGGGACAGCGAGTAATAGCATAGCAACTACTGCTCGTTTATGGCCACTTATCAATAATTGTAGAATATAGGGTTTCCAAAGACTTCATTTTATAGAGAAGTGAGCAGAAGTACGTATATTAAATGGCACATCAAGGACTTGAACTCGTTACTCTTACTAAGCAGCCACGCTATTGAGCAAGGTAGCGCCAAGAAGTCTACAATGGAAAAATGTAAAGAAATATGACGAAAGAAACACTAAACTCATACTCCAAAGTCCTAATTCACCTTACTCAAATTGGGTTAGTAATAAATTAATCTAGATATTGCCCTTACAATAGAGCTCAAATTCAATTGAATTTCCGAGTCTAAAATAACCTTCAAACAAACCTTTACATGCAAATATAATCACTCAACCAGGCTTGCAATCACGACGAACATTACAAAAGTAGAATAAAAATAGTAATCAATTCACAATAACAATAGATTTTTTATAATCTCACTGACTGAGCTTTTTCATCAGTCTATTTTTCACGCTATTTATATCTATCAAGCCTTCAACAAATAAAAATATCCTGTAAATTGGACTACCTTTTTCTTCCTTCACAAACGATACCTAAAAAAAATTTTTACAACCTCCTTTATAACTGATCCTTTGTTAATTTCTCCTGAATATCTTCGTGACACTCGCGAGTGTCACATGCGTTTGTTCACGTATGTATTTAGTGAAAAAGATATCCATTTGACATTTTAGGAAACTGACTTAAATACGTTCTAATTTTGTTACAAACATCGCCTAGTATCATTTATGAGGATCTTCAAGCCTCTGAAGTACCTAAAGGAAGCTCCTCCAAGCCCTTGATTCTCATCAAATCTTAACTCTTCTAAAGCTTACACCTCACGCCATACACCTATACGTTTGGGCGTCTCATACGCCGATTATCTTCCATCGTATCCGGCTAATCTATCGTCATACATTTTGTTCGGTGGGCGTCGCGTTGACGTAACCAATCGGTTTACGACTAACATTTTTTGTTCTAATCCCTTAAGTACTTGTACGTCAAATTAATTCTTTTTAATTCTAATCTGGGAAGGAGTTGAGATCTTATTTGGAGTGATAGAACGAGTTATTAAATGTTGCTGTGGACGGACCTCCGGAGTGATGAATGTTGTAAAGGTTATAGGGGATTTGTGGTTGCATAGCAAAGGTTGTGGTTTTCCAGATTTTAGAAATGATTCCGGATCTTGTTATTGTTTATAAAACATTTTTGAAAACATTAACTGGTATGGTTAGCCATCATCATCAAAAAATACCGTTTGTTACCTACAGAGTACGAAAGTGCTTATAATAAATGTAACACTTACATATGTAGTATTTTCAAGTTTGCTGACAAAAATTATTAGGTATAAAAATATAATCTTTATGTTGATATCCATCCACCAATTCATCTAGTGACAGTCCACTCCTGGACTATGAGCCTTGTCGTGAGCATAATCGTTGGGTTTGCCATAAACTCCATATTTGTTGGGGACTTCCATTCCGTTGAACACTGTTGCCAGGTCTCTATCAAATCTCATTTACCCCGTAATCTCATAAAAATATCTATTCTTGAGTTAAATCATAAACATCATGCCTTTTATCCCCTAAGGGGTAGGCAGAGGTGCACATTACGGGACTTAATGCCACTGTACAATGTTACACCCACTTTTCACTATTTATGTTATGGAGTCCCAAGTAATAAGGGCGGAGCCTATTGCCATCTACCGGGCATTTCCAGACTCCGTGCTACTACTGAGATTGTTTAACTCAATAATGCTTTGCCCGACCTGGGTATCGAATTCGAGACCACTGATTTGAGTTAAATCATTATAATCTAATTTCAAAAAGATGGTCTACGAAAACCGAAACGTCAAGTTCACCACAACAAAACGCTTCAAAGCGAACTGTTTCCTACTCGATTAGCATAGCAGTCATTCAAAATTGCATTCAGAATAATGTTGTCATACAATACTGTGGTCTATTTAAGATCATGATATAATCTGACCTACAGTCGTAGACATCATTTAAATATATCTTGTTAAGTAGATTAAAGTTTTTACGCAACGATACAATGATATTTTGTACCGACTTCTTATTGTTTCCTGACGTATTCATAGTTTGATATTGGGGGTCGGTGTTGTTGAAGGATTTCATGTCTTTTTCAATAGTGCAATAAATTTAGTTAAGAGCAGTAAACACTTTTGGTTTCATTAACCTGTCACAGTTTGTAAGGTTTTCTTATTCTTATTGTTTATTTTATTTAAGGACTTTTCTGTTTTGTTTTGTTATGTTTTTTTTTCTTTTTATAATTATTTGAAATGTATAACGCCTTGGTTTTATGACTGTAATGTAATGTAATTGAAATAAATAAATAAATTACTTCCACATTAAGTGCATCGGTCGAACATTCGTGCTGTAGGAAGGTATTGTGTGTATTCTTGCAGTATTAGGTAGTTTTGATCTTTTTCTACTGATCGAACTTCTGACTAATGTCTATCAAGACTAATAACTTGACAAGTGAGTTAAAGTAAACAGATTCTATAGTAGACTTAGTTTACATGTACGACTGTATGACCTATGTTTATTTAACCTTATCTACCCAACATCATATTTATTAATAAAGTGTTTATGACCGTACCAGTGTAAATAAATTAACAAAATCAAAATACATATTCAATAATTATCTCCTCAAACATTACTCAAATACTCAACGAGTCCCCTTCGAAATCAATTAAAACGAAAATCATTAATCACGCACCACACACGGCGCGGCATCATCGATTTAAAATCGATTTTGAGCGAGAGAATCAATACTATGAATACGATACATCGATATACAATAAAATATCGTTCAAGGCTGTTCGAATCCGGATCGAAGATCGCGTCAGTGAGCGGTTGAACTGTGAACTATTGTGTGGAAGTTCCATTGTCGCTGGTTTAAAAGTTTAAAGAATGTCATGGCACCACGCCCCGTTCGCAAGCGGGTCACAGAATGTGTCAATTGTAAAAGCTTTTTTAGAAAAGGCCTTGGTTTCATTCGATTGTAACTGTGATACGGATATGGTACTATAACATGTAAGAATTGTTGTTCCTTATAAAACTGAATGTATGTGCACTGTTTTTGCCTACGACTTCGTTCGTATCGAAAACTACATTCATCTCTTAGCATCGTAACCCTAAATTTTATTTTTAGCAACAACTCAACCCAAACTCCGAGATTAGATACTTCTATTGTTTAATAAAAAGCCTATCTGCGTTATCTATCTTTACCAGTTTTGAGGTTTATAATAAGTTCGGTAGGAAGACAGCATAAACGATTGGAGGACGACTTGAAGCAAGTAAAAGGGCCAGAATGGTTACGTGTAGCAAAGGACAGAAACAAGTGGAAATCCTTAGAGGAGGCCTTTGTCGAAAGACAAACTGTTGTAAGAGGAGCTAAGCCGATTGCTGAGATTATATTAGAGTAGTTTTTTAAGTTTGCTTTATTTCTTGCCTGTTTCGTACAACTTTGGTTACAGCTGTAATCTTTTTGTTTTAAATAAATCTAATCAATCTATCTCTTTTGCAGGTAATACTAGTCCGCGGTCACTACGTATCGTACCTGCCGCTGTGCAGCCGCAACGAGCCGGTGTTCCTGGCCGTGTGCACGCCGCTCGCCATGCCCGAGACGCGCGAGTGCGTCGTGCACGGCGCCACCAACGTCTTCACCACCGTGCACGCCATGGACATGAAGATAATACACATTGATGCCAAGTAAGACATTGACATTTCTAAGATCCGCCAACAATTTTCTGTTTACTTTGTTTTAAAGCATTCCTCTCTCTTTAAATGAAAGTCGAAATATTACCACAAAATGTTAAGTTACAAAGGTTCTGAACTTTTCATGAAATGGTGCAGTTTACTCATGAAGCAAATGGATTTTACCTTACTGTACTTACCCTTACTGATAATAGTATTTCCAATTACCAGTAGCGCCATCTAGCCCCAGTGTTAATATATGGAAAAAAACATCATTTTCATTTCAATCGTTTACATTCGCAAGGAATTAAGTATTGGCATATGTGTTTATGTTTATTCGTCTTCTTAAATCTGTAAATAGATGAGAAAAACCTCGATTGTGTATTCAAAAATTTTTTACCAAAACTATCGTATATATCACACGAGCACAAACTAATATCACAAACAAGGCAGCCACAGTACAAACACCCTGATGCACGATGGTTCAAGGCTCTCCAACAATACACAATACACTATGTGTAACTGTCAGAGATCCACAGTCCGTCAAAGGTTTAAACATATGACAACATCTCTATTGAGACCGTTTCATATTCATGCGCGTCCTCAGTTCGTCACCGGCATTCAATGGCATGAAATAATAAGAAGACTAAAGATATATGCACTGGTAAAGAGATGAGTCTCACTCGACATTCAAGTACAAATAATCTGACGGATAAAAATGCAGCTGTCGGAATGAAAAATTAAATTTATTTAAAAAAAAGTTGTTTGAAAAAGGGTGTTGCTTTTTTGAATGCAATGTCGTAAGTGGTGTTTCTGGTTATTGCTTTTTCTGATTTGCGATTTTCATACTAGATTGAGGTTCTATGTTCGGTTAGACCGGATTCGGTAAGAAATCTGATTTTTGACAGAATACTACATTATAATATTCGCTCTTTTTTATCGAGTACAAAAGGGTTTTCTGTTCTATTTAAACATACACAACTTGTACTTTCCTTTAAAAATCTTACCATCTAATTTACTAAAATTATTAAATTCATAACTTTCCATGTGCAATAAATTCAAACTTAACATCCAATTCGATTTACGTAAACAATGTCCCTAAGTAAACCCAGCAAATAACAACATAATTAATATCTAATTTATTCTAATGCAAGAGCTATCGGTCCTTTCATTGCACTATATTTCCGTGTCTAGTGTTGAAATGTAAACATGGACGTCACCTGCTCGGAAACGGGCGGGTTTTGCATACAATGACAAAGATACAAGCTCCCGTGAAACTTCTAGCATAGAGTGGAGAACACACTGTTATAGATCTAATATGAATTTAAAAACTAGTTAGAAAAAGAAAGTTATGACTGTTGAAGTGCTTGAGAACAGTAGTGACGATATCCGGTGAGTGGATGGTAGAGGTTGGATGCAGAGGGCTGATAATCATATCATATCTATATCAATCGCGTGCTATTACAGAGGCTATGTCCAGCAGAGGACGGAAAGAGGCTACTGATGACGAAGACTGTTATAATGATGACCAGTTCCACCAACATCCGCTATGCGAGGCTTCCATTTCTACCTGCAGGGTTCAAAACAAGCTAACCTAAAGAAGGATGTATACGTTATATAAGTTACTTTTTCGAAAAATATGAAACAATGTTCATGATCTATGCTTTTTGAAAGTGCACAAAATGCAGTAGTGACTTCAGTGTTTTCCAAACACGATAACACAATAAACTAGACCTCACAAGGAAAATAAATTTTCACAATAATTAAATTTATGTAAACTGTCATTAATTCTAATTCGGTATGGCGTAAGACAAGACAGCTAATTAAATTAAATATGAAATACAAACGGATTTAACATTTGTTGTATTGGGAATGACGGTATACCGCACCTACCTATTAATTAATAGACGAGTGCATAAATTGTGTATAAGTCTCATAAACTTATAAGTAATATTAAGCATCAGATACACTAAGTTATGAAACACGAAGGAAGGCTATACATTATAGAACTTAATCCTCCATTAATATGATACCCAAAAAAGAAATAGTTCCATTAATATACCATACATAAACTAAACAGTTCCATTTTTTGACGAAAGGACACCTCATCTCATTCATGACTCAGTTTCGCAGAATTTACAGTTTTGTTATGCTCTCATTGAATCCTTTTCATACAAATGTCATAATCATCATAAGTCGTTATCGTAAGCTGTAAGTCGTTCACTAATGAATATAAACCACACTTCCAACTGGTCTATCTAGAAATCTTCGATACCCAGATGCCTCCCATTTGATATGCATCCATTGGGTATACCATAAAAATGTAGCAAGAAAAAAAGAAGTATGTGATCTATAAGAATGCCTACCTTTTTTTACAATATAAATGTTGTAGATCTCTTGTTAAACTAATGACGACGCTTGACGATAGTGAAAAATCAATACAAATGTATATTTTACGGCTCACTTATGTAACCCATTGACACGGTAACTGGATTAATTTCAAGCCATGATAGGGGTCCATCCCCATAGCCATGAGCAGCATTACACACGGCGTCGCGTAGCCAACTCAAGTTGAGTAACTGCGTCAAAGAATTTCGTGAGTTAGTCATAAAACATAATTAAATTAGTATTAATTTAGTCTCCAGTGAACACTAAGCTTATAATGATCTATGATTTATATGTTAAGCGGATCACGCACGGCCATATGTCACAAAGTCTATAATGGTGTATTGCATCTGGTTGTAGTAAACATTATTGTCCTGTCTTTAGCGACATTATGCGGTTTTCAATGAGTTTGCACGTCACATAGACTATGCTAATATTTTCTTGTTAAGTTATGACTTGTTGTTGAGCGTTCGGTTTATAATTTTAATAGATTGTATTGATTTCGTTGCGTTCATTGCTGTTGCGTGAACAGATCTGATTGTATTATTTTTTAAGTATTTTGATAATAGGATCCTTCTTTCGATAAAGACTGACTTGACTGCACGGTTAGTACGGTGGTTGGGCAATCGGCTGCTGCGCAACATGTCGCGGGTTCGATTCCCGCACGGAACAACTCTTTGTGTGATCCACAAATCGTTTTTTCGGGTCTGAGCGTGCGAACTTGTACGTTTGGATGGGATGAAAATCCTAGAGTGGGACAAAGTTTTTTTAAATAAATAAACATTTTAAAAGGAAAGTTTTATTGAAGTTTCTATGGCATTTAATAATAACTATTATTTCTGATTACAATCCGCATAACTTCATACGTTCGACGAGTAAAGAAATTAGGAAAAGATCACTGGAGATGTATCTATATAAAAATCCTTTTTATATGAAGTCGGAAGTATGGAAACATTAATTATCCAAATCGACTAATAACGTTCTAATATCGACTAATACTTAAAAACCATTCAAGCGACTGACAAAAATAATACATTTCAAATTGATGTGATTGATTGTAGTTACCTCTAATGCAGTAGTAACCTTGGACATAACAGTCGTAAGTCATAATATTTTACTTGTAATCCCTATCAAATATCTATAGCCGCCTTCTAAGAAATATACTCTCAAATAAATGATCTGATAGATATATGAAATTAATATTTAGTACTCGTTCTAACTTGTTAAAGGTCAGATGTTATTATTTTGTTATTTTCCTGTTTCTGTCAATTAAAAAGTATACATATTTAACGAAAAGTTCTCTTTTTTCGTGTTATAGAAAACTAGGCTTAATTTTTACACAAGTAATTGTTATTTGCAAAATGCTGTCAAGTAATTTAATATAATCATACTATCGAAATAATAAAAATGGAGATATGGTTTCATGAGGTACAGATGTAAAGAAATTGGCATACAGAATAAGATTGTGTTAGTTACATTATTTAGCTTAAAACAAGGAGGACATGGGATACTTTTTTAATTTTTATCGAAAATCACAAAATGCAACGGCAACGAGAAAAAAACAGGATTGCGTGTACGAAGTCGCGGGCAGCGAATAATAAATAACAGATGAATAACCATTTGCTTCAAAACAATCTAAATCTGTACTTTTATTTTCATGCAAATCTAAGCTAATTACTTTATTATCACAATATTTAATCGACAGCTGTTGTTTTTACAAATGACAGACCCAATATTAGTTTAAGATAAGTTTAATTACCTATTACTAGTATATTATTGCCTCATATAATAGAGATAGTGGCTGTAAAGCCGACTGTTGAGTGCAAAGTCTATCTTCGATTCCAAGTTAGGACGAAGCTCAGTAACTATCTTAACTAGATTTTAGTAGAAACGAATGATGGTTAGATATTTCGATAGTTGGGTTAATTTAATTCGGTATTACATTGAACTTTGAGTAGGTACCAACTTCATACGATTGGGGAGTAGTGTATCTATCTGTACTCTTCTGCTTACATTCCTAGAAAAACACTAAAGTAATATTATTATGTATTATGATGTTATGTTTATAATTACCACTTGAAATTATTGTCAATGACCCACATCGAATGACAACTCTCAACTTCAAACGTCTAATAGTTAATAAGAGGAAAGTAAATATAGCAATATCGATTACTATCAACACATCGAATAACTAACTCTTATTACAAAGCAATAAGATTCATATTAGAGTTGAATTAGATTAAAATACTATTTTGAGATAAAACAGTAGACAATCCACTTGTAATTTTGAAGAGAATTATGTTCGTAAAGAAAATAAATATTATTAGAATATTGTTTTGTCTGTTTGTGTATGAGCCAATAGCTACTGTCGAGCTCAAGTGTGTCTGATCTGAGGTCATGTTTAAAGAGCTTAACAAAAAACAATATTGGATTTTTTAATCATAGATACTAAGGTGTAAAGTTCCATATTATTGTGTAGACATAGTAAATCAACTTGTTATTTCTAGTAGTAGGATAATATTGGTGTGTATAAATTGAACTCAAGACCACTTGTTTGACAGCCACCTTTAGCAACCACTCAACAACGAGAGATCTCTCTGTTGAAAGCATTTTAATTTTTGGCCGTTTCGATATTTTCAAATATGAAATAACTAATTATTCCTACGGAAATATGCAGTACCTATGTACCTCTGATCTATATATGAGTTCCCCTGTATACTGTCTGTGTATTGTGCATAAATTTATAAATAAAATAAACTACTATTGGAGATATCAATGAGAAAATCCATGAAATGTGCAAAAACATAAATTAACATCACCCCTTTTATCCCCGAAGGGGTAGACAGAGGTGCACATTATACCACTGTACAATGTAACAACCACTTTTCACTATTTATGTTATGAGTCCCATGTAATAGGGGGTGAGCCTATTGCGATATACCGGGCACAATTCCAGACTCCGTACTACTGAGAATTTTTTAAAAACCCAGTAATACTTTGCCCGACCCGGGAATCGAACCCGAGACCCCCTGCCCGGCAGTCGTACTTGCGACCACTCGGCCAGCGAGGCAGTCTTGTGTGAAATGTGCAAAAAATAATTCAATAAATAGTTATACTTGGTTTCTGCGACACAACTAGTCAGACTTAAGAAAGGCTGATGAATTTAAATACTTTTGTCTTATAGACGTAGACACAAAACCACAAAGGCACCAATCGTTAGTTCCCAACCAGCGGTTCGTGGGCTACTAGTGCAGAAGACAAAACATGATCCGCCCTACGCAAGAAATGCCACAGTTAAAGCTCGATATAATCTTATGTACCGGACACCGGAGGAGCAACCGAATTTAATTCTCTAAGAATAACTTTCTTATGAGAACACACCCAATGACTTTGAAGAATCTTTTATTGTGGAACCACTTGAAAACAGTACTCCTTAACCTAATAATAATGATATAAAAGTGGTCCTTGACTAAAGAATGGTTGGAAAATATATCACATCACGCCTTTTACCCCCGAAGGGGTAGGCACTTAATGCCACTGCACAATGTAACACCCACTTTTCACTATTTATGTTATGAATCCCAAGAAATAGGGGTGAGCCTATTGCCATATATCAGGCACAATTTCAAACTCCGTGCTACTACTGAGAATTATTTAAAAAACCCAGTAATACTTTGCCCGACCCGGAAATCGAATCCGAGACCTCTTGGCCGACAGTCGCACTTGCGACCGCTAGGTCAATGAGCAGCAGGCAATGGTTAGAAACCCCTGGTTCATATAATTAATGAATTAACAGCAATTAATAGACACAATGCACCTAAAAATTACCAAATGAAAACCGATTAATACCTCTAGTAAAATGAATATGAACTTGGAACAACACAATCAGTTAGGGTCATCTCATTCATCAATCATTCGAACCTTGAACGTTACAATAGTCGTTTCGATTCTTGTTCCATAATGTTTGCATAATAGTCCCAAATACTGGTCTGATTTCAGATTAATTAATGTTTTGTGTTTTATTTGCCTTGAAATTAAGTTCATTTTTATTTAATTTTAGTCTGTACTTCCTTTCTGGGTTAGATGATTCTTACGCTGAAATATTCGAACGCCACTGAATTTTAATTCTGTCACTACAAATTCTATGTAAAATGACAGAGATGGCACGATATTAACTCGTCGAGTACCGTCATTATAGACACAATTAAAGAACAATAGGTTGCGGTCACCGGTGTCCTTACGGTGTTTGACAGTTTAAAGCACTACTTAAGTAGCCTTTCATTATTCAGCTGTAAGCGTTTTAAAAACATACTGAGGCTATTTATAACATATTTTTGGCCGTCTAACAGGGAATCAACAGCCCTTGTTAGTCCATTAGTGGACTGTATCTACATCTTTTAGATTTACCATACGCCGTTGACAAGACTGCACAGTTGGCGCGGTGGCTTATCAACTGGCTGCCGCGCAACGTAGCGCGAGTTCGATTCCCGCACGGAACAACTCCTTGTGTTGATCCACAGATTGTTGTTCCGGGTCTGGGTGTCATGTGTATGTGAACTTGTATGTTTGTTAACGCACCCACGATACAGAAGAAAATCCCAGTGTGGGGCAACGTATTATTTAAAAAAAAGGAATAGAAACAGAAAAGCATTATGGTAACATTTTGCTTCTTCTTGAAATGGAACCACTTCTTTTATTTGGAGGAAACGATCTTAGAGCCATGTTAGAAGTCGTTCTTACAATAACTGCAATCCAAACTATTTCACGAAGACTTTAGCTGAACATTTACCTATTTAAATGCGAATACTAATAATACGTTTTTTGTTTATCCAGTAGTGAGTGGCATTTGGGCTGGGAGAGAAGTTCCCTGCACGGCGTCAGCTGGTACCATCTACTGCATCCTGACTGCTGCAAGGAAGCGCAGAGTAAACATCGGTTAAGTAAGTATTTATATGCAAAAATATTCAGTACCTACCTTTTTTAATATTTTAGCTTAACAGTGGTTGAAAACAACAAAATACAAAAATGATTTTTGCGGTGGATAAATTTCATATTAAATAAGGCTAATTAAAACAAGCTAAGTGGTAATCATTTCATCATACTATGTGCAGAAAATAACCGTTCCTATAACATACGTGTAGTATGCAGTCCTTATATATGTGAAAGCCTTTTGTCTTATATGAGGTAAACAAAGACGTTAGCACTACGACAAACCTTCATCATCATCATCATCAGCCCGTATTCGTCCACTGCTGGACATGGCCTCTCCAATGGCACGCCACTGAGCTCGTTCTTCAGCTCCAACCACTGCCAGCCACCTAGCGGATATCGTCACTCTACGTAGCTGAAGGGCGCCGTACACTGCGTTTGCCTAGACGCGGTCTCCACTCTAGAACACGTTTACAACAATCCTTACCAATGTCTTTATCGTCCCTTGTACATCTAGTTACATACGCGTAACACATTACAATAAAAACCCATTACAAAAACAATCATCAAAATACGTATTCTACTCCTAACTTAAATCCATAACATCAACTCGTGCGCAAACTAGACCCGTCAATCTCGCTGTAAACTGCGCGGGTTAATAGTTGTCTAAACGACTGCGTCTGAGCATTGTTTGTGATTAATGACGTATATACAGCATCTCCAGTGTTCCAGTCCAAAACCGTGGGAACTTTTAAATATGACTAGATTAATACTTACTTTCTCAACGTGACTGTCTAAATACCAACTAAATACGTAACTTTTCATGACTAAATGATAGTCTCATGTCGCAAAATCGTGTCCGCACAAATATGTATTTTTAGACGAAGTTTATTGTGGTTATAAAATCTTTATACTGATAAGTACTCTGTCAAACTTTTAGTCGTAATGTCAAAGAACTTAACAATGTTGTTCTATAAACAAACTCAGACGGAGATTAGCTGTCACCCTGAGGGCAATGGATAATAAAGTTTTCAAACACTCTAATATTGTACTATATCTCTTAGAACAATATTTTAAACAACGATTTTGACAAGTGGGCCAAGTGTTTGGGCAGGTACCAAAAACCAATGTTGCGAAAAGATGACAATCGACTATCTGGCACATTGCGTGCGATTGCTCGATAACCTACGACAACACAAAAGCGTTTAACACAAAGTTATCTGCGTCAACACACACGTTAGAGAAAGTCGACCGTCGACTTGACGCGACAGCGACGTGACGATCGTGTGTGAACCTTCCCTTACGTGAGCGATTATATCGACTAAATCGAGCACTCGACTAAATATTATTCAGCGATTCCCAACCCTATGTGTGCAATATAGTGTTCTGTTTTCAAAATCTCGCGCAGAACTCGTGACTTCGCGCTTGACGCAAACTTGGTAAATCCGAAATTGGAACACTTTCTGAGGATTCGCGCTAAGATGTTCATAAGTCAAATGTCAGACAAATAGAGGTGCGGGATAATAAAGTAACGACATTATAATAAAATCATCAATTTACAGCCATCTTTAGATATAAACAGTCCATAAAATCTAGACTTTATATATGTCGTGGCCATCGAAAATGCAATTTACTTCAAAATGTATTCTTAATTCTTATTATAAACTGAAACATTATACTCTCAAAACATCAGTTGACTGAAATACGAAGCTCATAACTTACGTGTCGAACGTTTAATCTAAATCTACGCCTATTTCTAGTTAGAATGAGAATTAATTACTACAATTTACATTCATATCATTATGTCATTCGTTAAGGTGCGCGTAGGCAGAGCTCTGAATACAGCTCGCAAATCAAACCCACTTTACCCATACATACCGGGGAGTAAACACACGGGCAGTTTGTCGACCTACAATCGCAACAGTCGTCAATCTCTTCCTCTAAAACCAACAGTCGAGATTGCACAAATGATCGGCTGGCATTAACCCTCATTACTCTCCTACAAACGTACATCCTTACTTCGAAATTCGAAATAATTCAACTGACGCGACGACATAAGATGTATATTCGAATGACAGAATAGAGTAACGATCTTTGTTGAATCGGAATCGTACTTGGCAATGCATCGTAGTCGAGTCATCATTCGAATGATTCGATAATCGGTAATGACAAGGACGGCTCGGCTTGTGCGGTGACCTTTGGATTATATTGGCTTTGGTTTAGCGGTAACTGCTTTGATTGCTTTTTATTATTAGTTTTTGTTATTGATACTTCAAATTGTATTGTTGAATTACATTGGTACTAATTTTAATGTGTCTAAAAATACGATACATACATTTGTTAAATATACAACTCATATATATGACTCATGAAGATAGACGGAAACCCCATTTAACCACATGTATATCTTAATAGTAATTATTTGGCTTCATTTAATTTCATATTACAGAGCTAATCCACACCAAAATACTGTCCTTCTCCATATATTATCAAAACGGCAATATATTTGAATATATAAGGAATGCAAATCACAACCACAATAGAGGTTTAATTGAAATCGTGCGTAATGACAGATGATTTAGAGCTTTGTCAATACGTCTATTGATTTTACTGCCTTGCCAACTGTTATATGATACCTGGTTAATTAACTACATAACTGACTGCACCGAACTTCATATTCTATAGCTAGAATCTAATATTCATGTGAAATGTTTGTGGAAAATTTATTTCCTTCGCTCTGTGATTTTTCTTGGTTGAAAATTAGATCTTGATTGACTTTAACTGACATATTTGAATGTGTTGGAAGCTAAAAAGTATACAAAGATTAGTAGGTAGTGGCGCCTTCTAGATTTTGCCTACCACCTGGAAAATGAGGTGAGATTATGTACATATTTAGTAAATTAAAATTCCACCCTGTATAGTAAATATTATTTACTATACAGGGTGGAATTTTGTAATGCCACCTGAATGAGAAGTACAAAATAACATTTCTTTATTTTTGAAAAAAAAGAAAACGGCATTCAAATATTTTTTAAAACTCGCTTGCCGCACACAGGTCTCGAACCGACTAAAATCTATAAGAGTTGCATCCTGTACTTTTATTGCATCGATCGTTAGGGTCAATAAGGATGAAATTTCTTTAACAAACTTCATAAGTTAAATGAAAAGAAAATAATGTACTTAATCTTAAATTGGTTAAAGCGCTTAAAGTATTGTTTCCCCTTAGGTGGCATTAAAAAATTCCACCCTGTATGTTTAGCATTTCCATAGAAACGTAAATATATTTTGCAATACCCAATAAAAGAGGACTCCGGTATTGTATAATCATTACTTTTAAGATGCCACTACCTCAACACGGATCCAATGGAGGTAGCACAATGAATTAATTATTCAAATAATTGTTGATAAATAAGTAATAAATTAATACTAATAAATAAATTATTCTGGTGTCTATGTCTCCTCTGTTCTTACCGGATCTTTGTGAGTAAATCAAATAATGTATAGGATGATTTCAACCTCAATTTAGGATGGACAAGACGTTACGCTTGGAAGTCGTACTTACACATGTTCGACTAGTGAGTCTATTAATAAATACATCTTACTAAAATAGGGTAGTTTCAAAAATTTTATTTTAATGTCCGTCTGGTACATTAATTTAAAACTTTAGACACGTATTTTTTCTTTTCTCACAAAATTAAATACTTTCGACGATATATTAATTTGAAATATCGTGTGACGTCACAGCGTGTCACATTTTGTACCACGTTATGATGTAACGACCTCCCACTCCAAAACTTAGCGCTATTTTATTTTAGTATTGCAACTTAATACGAGAAAAAAAAAATACGTGTCAAATTTTTTACATTATCAAGCTGACGGACTAATTAGATTTTAAATTTTGATACCCTGGAAACTACCCAATTATTAATTCTAAAGTTTGTGAATCTGTGTGATGTTTGTTACTCAGCTACATCAAAACAGCAGAATAGATCGGGATAAAATTTGGAACAGAGGTCGATTACGGTCTGGTATAACACATCAGAGTGCCAAGCACGAATAACTATCGCATTCGTAACGTTATAGCACTCGTGACGTTATTGCGCTCTGATTGGTTGGTTCACTGGTGCCGGCCAATCAGAGCGCCGAACGCGCTCGATACTACTACGTTACGGATGCGATAAATATTCGTGCTTGGCACTCAGGCTACTTTTTATACTACTGGAGAAGCAAAGCTGCGGGCAGAAGCCTGTATGTAGAGCCAACGGTTAAAAGTCCACTGTCACCGTGAGTGATGTTCACACGGCAATGCGTAAGTAATTTCATATTAATGTGCGTATAACGCGTGCGTACACATAAACACATGCACGCGTACGCACACGGATAAAAATATGCGTGTGCATGTGTGTATAAGCCCTGCAGCGCAACCGATAGTAGTCTTACGGTGGCAGTGGACTTTTGACCTTTGACTGTACATAAAGTCACATCTTTTAATCTTAAAAGGATATGCAGAGTATGTACTCTTTAATTATGTAAGTATGTACTTTAAATAGGTACTGCATACATGTGTATGCAGTACCTATTTATCGTGCACATTTACCGAACATAATTTCAGACTCATGGTATTACTGATAAATTTTGTAAAACCTATGAACATGAGAGCCATGAATCAAACTCCTTCTTCAGCAGTTGCACTTGCGACAATTACAATCAAGCAACTAGTTAACCAATTATGCATTAAAACATCAAAATTGTAAGTACCTAATAAACAATAAATGGAAACAAATAATCATTAATAAATAATCGTACTGTATATTATACAGCGGTAACCAAGCACATAATTCAATTGGCTATTTACCTAGTCAATTATGTAAAAACAATAAATGGTTTTAATATAATTTTAATACACACTACTATTAATAAACTCCTTGTATATTTAAAGACTATCAGGATATTTGAATAAGTATCCCACGGTCTAATGAATATTCGCAATAATCGGTAAAATCGATAGCCGAATACGGTGTACTCACGATAATAAAATAAACAATAAATATCTTTGTACTGTATTAAATAATAAATAGTATTCGGTTTAGACTGTAACCTAATTCAGTCGTGGCTATTTCATGTAATACTTACATACTTGCATACATACGATACATATATACCTAATATATGTATTTACATAAAAAGGATGTAAGTAGTTTAAGTAATGTTTTGTCACCAATTATTATAAATCCTATGTATTAGAAGGTAAGCCTTTATATAGGTAGGTACCTGACATAGTTCCAGAACCTGTAATACCACAGTTTTTTTTTTTGGAAAAGAGAACAATTTCACCTAAAACAACGCAAAAGTTAAATTATACACAGATTTACACAGTACAATTGATTTAATAATTAACTAGAAGTAATAAAAAAGGCAACTAACTGTTTATTGCAGCAGAAAATGTAAAAGCAATAACAATCTTAGTCGTTTCTAAACTCACCTATTTAAGTAATTCGTGCTCAATTTAAAAAAGTCCATTTATATTTCAAAACTATAAAAAGGGCTCGCCGATTAAATACCAATAAATGATAATCGATACTTACAATCGTTTAGCTATAAATAATAACATCGAATCACTTTATAAGAGAAAGCTCAAACATAATAAAACGCTACAGTAACTATAAACAAATAAAACTAACTAGCGATGATCACAACTCATATTAGCATCGTTAGGTATCGATAAACACAACAAATTGATTGCGTAAACATCGGTCATATGAATCGAGAATCGATTTATCTCCGAATGATCGACAAACAAAACGAGTAACCATTTATGACGATTCGATGGACGTTAGAATCGAATGCCTTTTACGGCGATTCGTATGATCGGAAGACCATTCCTGGCGCATGTAAATTACTATCATAACATCATTGTCAAAGGCAAACACCTTGTATTATGTTTGATTACAGTCAAAGAAATAAGAACCCTATCTAAAAGTCTCAAAGTTAATATTTGAATGTGATTAGAACGTGTCTTGAGACTATTTTGTGTGCGAGTCCCTGTGTGAGCCGCACCTCGATAATCTTTATATTAACGACGTTCTAATTTTAGGGCTATTCAATTATAACTATTCACACCGAGATTGTGATTGTGCATTTGTGTATTTATAATATCTAATAACCGGTTTGTTTGACTTGTGTTATAGATAAGAACACACATTCAGATCAGAGATACTAGATTTTCTAGACCCTGTTATTTTTAATATTGTTAATATACAGTCTTTACAGAAAAGGAGGTCCCTCTACGTCTCACTGACGCCCTCTACTAGAAAAGACCTCATTGTATCGTGTAACAACTCGCTGTAAGAAGCGAACAGCATGACATCTCTTAACATGGAATATACCACATCTGTACCAAATAAAAACCGTCAATGTTTTTATACAACACACTACAACATATCATATACATTGTACCTTTTAATAACTACAAAGTGATATTTACAAAGTGTACATAAAAACTATATCAAGTACTTTATTGTTCGACAAAAAAGGCTAACAAGTATCAATTATTTAGTAGTGATGAGACGATGTTCGATATAAAAAATGTTCTATGTACGGAACATAATCTGTGAACAAAAAAATTTGCATAGAAACATTTATATGCAGGATCTAATTTTTTGAGGATCTTTTTTTTTGTTACCATGACATCGTACTTGTGCTTGCTTGACTGGGTAGGCAGATAACTACATATGTAGCTATAGGTCCCCTAAATAATGTTTAATTGTGATATACCTAAAGAATATGAAATAATAGCTGCTAGTTCAAAAAGTACCAAATTAGATTCTCGACTTTTAGAATATAACTATCACAATATCTTTGTAATTTGTCTTAACCTATCACGAGACAAAAATATTCATTAATCAGTAAACTCAACTTTGATAATTTTGGAACCGACTTTCAATCTGACCCAAATATTACTTTGGCACATTTATTCTTGATAATTTTCGTATGTCAACACATTCCTTTACTAAAATGTCTCGTAACAACATCTAAATATCAACCTTTTTCTTTCGTCCACAGTAACGCAATCAGAACAGGAGCGTTCCTGCATCGCCCTACTTCGATTGCAGCGCCGCTCTGGACAGTTCCTCTGGGTACATGCTGTATTACAGCTCAAGGACAACTTGGAGAACTCACAGCGACCTGTCATCGTGTGCACTAACCAGGTGTTAAGGTGAGTAGAAGTATGCATATACGTTTTAATGGAATAGGGGGATGAACGTGTTCGTATTAATAAGTTCTCCTGTTGATAAGCAATCGACGTCGCCTTAACAGGTTGCCGAGGCTACGGCTCGAAGGGCAGGAGTAGGAACAAGGTGGTTTTTAGTCAGTCAGTCTGACACTCCCTCGTTAATTCCCGAGAAGTCATTCGATGATTTTACCCCCTCTAAACAAAAAATATGTACAGTCATACTAAATATATGTAACAAAACAAATTAATTCAATACTCACGACTAGAAATTCTGAACTTAATATCAATTACAACTAATATTTCTTGAGGGTATCATACTAATAATAAGTCACCTCACAGGTCCATTGGGTGAGGCACATAGCAATCATTGGAAAATTATTGCCCTTTAATATTTCTTCAAGCGATTTATCCACTCGCATTACTATTTGACTGTAGTATTACAAATAATTACTAGTCCAACCAATCATGTTAAGGCAGTTGTTATTAGAATTATTAAATTATATGTTTCATAATTAAGTATCAGTGTTCGACTTGTCATAGATGATTAGGGTTATGTCAATAATTAATTAATTTCATGTTTTTGTGACCTATTGAAGTAAATATCACACGCCTGTTATTTTTGAAAAGGTTAACAGTTACCTACATCCACTTTTCACTAATAGTTTCTACATATAAAATTTATTGATTATTATGATATTCATAAAACCAGCCATTTTACCTACAAGCATTTGAGTATTTAATATTCAAATAAAATTAACCCTTGAAAATATTCAAAAGAGATCATCGTAATTTCAATTCTGGTTTCCCTAAAAATTAATTAAAGTGATTTGAATTTGAATTTTAACTAATACTCGAAGACTGTTTCCACATCCAAATATAGAACTGTGTAACAAGAGTTATATACCTACCTACGTTCTTACCTACCGTCTTACCTAAATATAGTGTACAGCAATAATTACATAATACATTAATAAACGTCAAAAGCTCAAGTAAACGCAAACACTTGAATAAAGCAGTAAAGTAAGAAATATCGCGATTTAATATAAAGCAGCTTAAATTACATTTAGTGTTCGCAAACTAACACAAATAAATTGTATCACCGAATAACTCAAATTGTGAGTACGAAGAGTAGGTAAGAAATGGAGTAACTCACTGTCAAAATTATAATTGAAAAAAGGAAATTTGAGAGCTTTTTCTATTACTATTACGATATATTTTAAATGTACGAGAGCCATGCTTCGGCACCATTGTGACGGTTCGACCGGAGTGACCGACGCATTTTATCGTGTAAATGAGGTTACCGGAGCAATTACAATTCTGCCCCCCCCCCATCTTTCCAATCTACCCAATCCCGGAATCCTCACAATCCTCAAATCCTAATCCCCAAAAGGCCGGTAACGCACTTGTAATGCCTCTGGTGTTCCGAGTGTCCATGGGCGTCACCAATTGCTTACTATCAGTTATTCTGTCTGTTCGATTAGGTACTGATTTATCCCATAAAATTGTAGTCAATGTAATATCCAAAATTGTAAGTTAAATTAGTTACTTTATAGGAGTCCTTTTTAACATGGGAAATCAGTACTTATTTCGTTTAACAATTCCACTACAACCTCTATTTTTGCAAAAAAAAGGAGTAGGTTATTGTAACTTGTTCAGAGTCTTGTATCATACATTTCCAGGAAGCAAAACTGTCCCTTAAAAGACTTCCTTTAATTCAGTGATTAAACTAAACATCAATTTCTTTAACCGTGAATCTTATCAATCCACGCAACAAATTAAACCTTTCTTTAGGACAATATCATAATAATATCATGTAAACCAAATACTAAAAGCTACGATATTTATCGTTAAAATACCGGTGTTCAAGCAACAGCCAATTATGTTTACTGCCGTGCGATCCAACTTCGTAATTATGAATTAAACCATAATTGGAGATAATTTTACAAGGCATGTCTGCGTCCATCTTGACAACATTTTTTAAATTCCCAGATGCAACGTGCTATATTTCCTTTTATAGAATGTATTTAAGTAATAAATCTGATGTTGGTATGACTAGGAGTCTAGGAGTAGTGACGTGAATTACCTTGTAAATGCTTATTTATAGCAATTGTTGAAGTCTATGAGAAAACTTTAATAACATTTAGTATTGCCACCTAGTTAAGTATTAGCAAAGACTTTTGAATCCAGTACCAGTATTTCGATTTTAAATGCTTACGTCTTTAAAAATGGATGACTGTGTTTTTTAATAATACTGAATCAGCTAGTGATGATAATTTAATCAACAATCCTATGACTAATTTTGACATATCTTAATAGGATATATTATCTCAATAAGTCTCCCAACTGAAACCAATCTCAGTTCTAACACGATAACCCAAGAATATAAAAATCTCAAAGAACAGAACGATACTAAAAAATAATATTAAAAATTTCCAAGAACAATAACTCTACGTATTTCAGAAAGTAAAGCTCGCAAACTAATTGAGCCCAAAGCCACATTAACCGAACCGATAATTCCGCCGGCCCACGGTGCGCCGACTTTGAAAAATTACGGTCATAACTTAACGCGGTCACTTACAGACTTCCCTATTGAGATATCAATACTAGATGACGTCGTACGACGTACGCCTCTCGCGTAAACATGGCCCTTACTATTGTTAATGCAAACTCGATTGTTGTTGCTCAAGTTTTTATGGCGGTTAAAGAAGGTACTGTTAAGTTGGGACATTCAAATTTTGGGTGACTAATTGATGCTGGAGTAGTTAGACAGTTAGGAACTTATTGGAGTATTGAGACCAGATTGACCTGGTACCTGACACCTTCCGCTAGCAATAATCGCAAAACAGCTATAAATGTATACTTTAAAAATACAACAATTGTTCAAACTACATAATATATTGCGAAACTTAGACACAGACGCTATCCAATTAATGAAATAAAGTTGTACATACACAGTCATGTTTTCTAAATAGGAAGACAATCCATTATAAATTCCACTCATGTGCCAACCATAACTTTTCTATGCCTTGTTAATTGGCGTTAATAGTCACAATCATAGTCTAGCAATTTTAGAAGGCCAATTATGTTTCATTTTGTTTACTTGTCTTGATTGAAGTAACCTATATTTGACTTCTTCTAATGATACACTACGTAATCATTTTCATTCAGAGCACTCGTTATTTGGTCTATTCTTTGATTTTTTGCTCGCATGTCAATTTCAACATGGCTGTCCTCGAATCTAATATAGTTTGCAACCACTTTCAGCGGCAATAAATTAGATTTAACGATCACACATGTTCCAGTGACAGCTTGCGTACACCGATACCGAGACAACTTTCGCTGAATGCTTTCAGATGTTTATAATCGGTTAAAGGAAATATGTAACACATTCATTACAACTGTCTGAATATAAGAGCCAGTTGAAAGATAAGGTCAAAGCTCCAAAGCGATAGGTCAAAACCCAGGCACGTCTATTGTTTTTCGAGTTCCCTTATTAAATAAATCAGAACGTAGTTCATCAGTTCAGACTAGCTTTTGATCTCCCGCGATCATTTCCTAAGCTCTATTGCGAATATTTATCTCTTCTGTTCTATGCAATCGAGTGTTAAAACTCGATCGAACATCTAGAGTTCATAGTGAAGCTTTACAGAGAATAAATATTGTAAGGGGGTGATTTATAGAGCCGGGGCGAGCCTCGCAAGCCGATCGGCTGGCCGATGTTACTATCGGGATGGCTTGAAATATGCCTGCAAAGGGCTATTGTTGTGATGTGAGAAACGGTGTTTAACAAGCGCCGGGTCTGATCGATGGACCCGGCGGATACAACCGTCTATATTTTATAGCACGAAAATACACGAAAACTGCTGCTAATTTTGTAAATTTGTTCGAGATGTATGGCTCGATTGGTATGAATAAACTTTTGTTTAGAAAGTAATTTTGTAAGTTTTGTCTTACTGATATTCTCGAGTAAGATGTAACTTCTAGCATCAGTCACTTAGTACTGTAGATAAGCGGACTGAGGATTGCAACAAAAAGCGCGCAGCTGCTAAAAGAGATTCTACAACAATGCAAAACATTTCCCTAGGAACTCCTTGTGCTTAAGGGCCATTAAAGGTGTAATTAAGATAACGTCTGACTTAACACTTTCCTAAACATTAAATTCAACACTATTCACAATCCGGATTAGGCATCTAGATAATAATCGGTGCGAACAAAGTCATTATGGCTCGGCCTACAGTGACAAGACCGATTCATATTAGTCGTGGTAGGCGCTATTTAGATAGTAAATCTAAATTAATTTGAATGGGCGAGTGGGTGACAGTCCAGCTGACCTAAACAATCAGGCACAAAGGGCGGTGGCGCAGTCCTTAGCCACTTAGGTCTTGGAAGGGAACGGTGCATGTCATAAGCAGACATTCAAGCGATAATAACACCTGAAGACCATTTACCGTTAAAAGCCTTAATTTTGTCCGTAGTTACCTCAAAATGCATGTTATGAAATTCTAAGAGCTTTGGCTTTCAAGCAATTAACTAGACGGGTAAACAAATTGGTTTTACTTAGGTCCAACGTTTGAAAACCTAAGTTATTCTCTGAGTATATATGACAAAAGACTATGTAACAATGGCATTAGCGACAAAAGAAGCTAAGCAATGAGGTTATAAATAAAAGCTAAGGATATGTGTACGATCTCTTTGCTTCTAAGTAGACAAGTAGGTAGGTACTATTTTTGGGTGTTGTTATGTTTTACTTATCTAATATTAGTTTTAGATACAATTTTGACTTTAGCACAGTATCACCGCTCCACTTTACAAATTGCACCAAATGTTATACGGTGGTGGCTATAAATCCGCTGTGCTCACAAGCTCAGTTGCATTGTTCGCGGGATTGCGTCATTTGTCACGTTTCTGCGCTGATGCTCTTGCGCAACCTACTCATGTTACTTCGTGCTCTCCACTGACAAATACTGTTGCTTTTAATAATGAGCCCGGCTTACGTGAATAACTGATTTAATGGCGTCTCGAGCTTTATTTTCTAGCTGCATTATCGGTAACCACAACATTTCGTAGTAGCTGAAAACTCCAAGACACAAAAAAGCTTGTGAACCAAGCTTTGATTCACCTCTTCGAACTTTAAATTCGTTTGTTTCAACAGACTATATGTCGTAGCTGGTTGTGAAGATTCATAGTCCTATATAAATTCTCAAATTAAATTTCAATATTAAAATAAACTGAGTAAGTAATTTAACGCTCGTTTATACACACCTATGGCATGTACAAGTGATACGGTGAACGACAACAAATTGTCAACATGTCGGCCGCCTACGTCATGTCGCCGAGATTTATGCGTTCAGGCTGCGCGGACGCACAAATTGGCGGGAAACTGAGAACATGGACGGATACGCTGATTTCCAACATTCCATTAACTCGGTTATGCATAACAAGCACCGGATTATGTAGACAATATAAAAAAGTCTAACTAGAATGCCTGAACCTTGAAAATTATCTTTAAAGGATCTTGGTTAAATGGTTCTACGACATTATATAGACGTTGGCAGATTTACATTGACATAATTAACCAACTACGTGTTTAAACTTACGATGATAAAGCTCGTGAATCATTTTTGTACGCACGTCATAAACAAAATGACTAACAACAAATAAAAAGCACGTCCAAATTAAATTAACCTCAACTTATGTTTTCGCAGTTACATCTTAAAGCATGTCTTCTTCGCCACCTCCACAAACATTACCATGTATCTCCCTAACACCTCAATTCAAGTTGGATGTTCAAAACACTAAATAATATGAAACAACTTATTATACAAATGAGAATAAAATTAATGGCATCTAATGTGCATAAGTTACCTACTGTTCCTGCGATATCTTCGAAGCGTTCAGTAAGGCTTTTAGCATAAATAAAATGTTAACACAGGCTAGCTATAAATCACTTAAGGTCGTAAGGGTCAAGTTTATTAATGCAGAACGCGTGTAAACATAGGAATAACGTTTTATTCAAACGCCCTTTTGGTTCTGAAGCTAAAGTACTGAATACTTCACAACAGTATCTGTTTACTTACAGTGAATGTTATAGCGATTTGTCGCCGTCCAACACGTATCTTAAGTTTGATGTACTGTCGGCGTCAGTTAAACGACAGCAGTTTGAAATAAAATTAATGTGTTTGGAAAAAAGGATATGTTTTCTAATTTACAATGCCATAGCCATAGAATCAACACATTAAATACCTATCTAATTTAAAACATTGAACATCGGTCAGGTGCATAATGCTTAGTGAATGACTCACATACATAATGATTTGAACCTTATATTTACCTATCTATGCAACGTTAGTTAAGCATCACACAAACATTGAAGGTGCCTATTACTTCAGATAGGTATTCTCACAGTATTATTCCTTCGAAGTATTTTCAACCCACCTGTACAGGTCCAGGGCTCAGTCCAACTATGTGACATTTCCCTGCATCCACTATCTTAAAGGTTGCCAACACAAACGTTAACTGAACTCGCGCGAAAGGTTACATTAAATACAAATTCAATACCGTGTATTCACCTTGCCTTACCCGCAGTCATTACCTACATGTCGTTTGTTTAAATGTTCCTCATTTTGTCGACAATCGGAGATGTGTGACGTAGATAACATACATTCGTATCATTTGTTAACTAGTAACGAACGCTGTTGTTAACTAATTTTATTAGCAACACATTCATCTAAGGACATAACGATTTAAGATAACACATAGTTAATTTATTTTACAATAGAGTTTCATCAAAATCTTTAGTAGAAGTTAACTTCAGCTAACCAAAAACCCTTTAACACGTTAAACGCCATGGCAGTCACTGGTGACCGACATTAGCGGAGGATTTGCCTTCAATAGTTTTTTATTGGCAGCCAATGCCTTAATAATAGAAACGATAAAATTGTCGCTGTTCGAAAATGCAGTCCTTTTATCTGAAAATCTCAAAGAGCAAACTCGATTTCAAGTATTTGTGGGAAGGCCGCTAAACAACAGTGACTTGTTAAACACATTACAAGTCTAATATAAGGCTAGCGTTATCAGCGATTAGTGTAATGGAATATCGCCTAAACTACTTCGATACATAATTAATAGATGCTCGTAACGCATGGCGAAACGAAACCTACTGAATATAAACATTAAACTTTATACTCCTCTTTACTATTACAGTAATGGCTAAAGCTTGTAACAATGTCGTTGAGACTAACGCGAATTCTTTCCAGTTATATGCAATCACCATTTAAAAGTTATTTTAATTGTTTGCGGAGCTCATAACTTAGGTACGATCTATTTCGAGTTCAAGGTTTCTTACGCTTTAACAACCTATTATTGCCTGTATAATGCTCAGATAAATATCGAGCGCCAACCTCTTTAATTTTAATAGTAAATATTCTAGCAAAATCCAGCAACCTGCTCTCGTGTAGAGAAAGTCCATAATCTACTTAATAGTGGGTCATACCTATCATATAGGTCATAGATGTAATACTGAAAATAAAATCTCAATTTTAACTCTTGTATATCTATCAAATTGAGCTTAACTTAATGGTAAATTAGTCTAACTTTGTCCTATTGTCTACAGTGAACAAGAAGCAGCAGTCATGAAAGCCAATCCGTGGCTCTACCACTACTACGCAGTTCAATCCAAACTGCACTACGGTTTGGCGTATGAAGCTGCTACAAGGATGTATGGGCCACCGCCGCCAGATATACAAGTCTACCCTCCAGCAATGCAGTACACGCCGACTCCACCAGTCTGCATCAATGGCAACCAACCCGTGATGATGCCTAACCCTGGCATACAGCCTCATATACCACATGTTCCGCCACACTTAGCCCCTATGCACTACGCCTACGAAAGAACCGATAATGGACCCGTCGATTATTCAGTTTCGCTGCAGGAAAATAGGTAAGATATTCTACTTTCCAATTTGATGGCCAACAATTGTTAATTATGCAAATAGAATTAAACCGTTCAGGGCCATAACGCGATTAATTTGAAATAGTAAATCGTTAGTTCATCTAACAGCACAGAAGGTAGGTAAATATCAGGTATGACCTAGAAATTATCTTGTTAATTGCACTATGACCTCATGCTGTCCATCAAATATGTCGTTTTAAGGAATGCGCATGTAAATTAGCTTCATCTTGAAATTGTTTTCTGACTTGTTACGATCTTGCGCAGTTAGTCCGATTTCAATACCGCATGTGTAACTTTAGTTTTCTATTTCAGATACCACAATTTACGGATAGAGGATACGAGGATCCAGCCTAATGCTAAGCGGAAAGGGAAAAGTATAGACGATAAATCAAACACGCCAATATCAAATATGTCACCACGTTGTACACCTTCGACTGTTACTTCAGGGGGCGACACATTAGTAGCTGTTTCAGCGGGTTCCATTGCCAGTAGAAGACCGGGATCCAAAAATTTTAACATAACAGAAACCGAAATGGTTGACCAATGGAATCCGAGTCCCACGTGGTCAGAATCAGCGCTACAAAAAGTGCCTGACGTCTGTCACCAGGACCTTAGTCCTTACGTGACGACAACGCCTCCTACGCCGTCCGGGACACCTACAGCCTACACCCACAACTATAGTCACACCTTCGTATTCGACTGGTCACCAGAGCAATATGTTCCTCATACTAACAATAGATGTAACACAATAACCACAGAAAGTTCCTATCAACAGACGTGGAATAGGAGCCAAAGGACAACGTTCGCTAATAGCGCCGAGAACTCGGTAGATGAAAACTCCAATCCTAATAGATTAAGTTTACCAATGAGGGTCAGTAATCCACCGCCAGCGTATAATGCATCTAGGGAAGACGTACTTAGAAGGCAAATTGGTAAGTTACTGCATTTGAATTGAATGAGAATTTTAGTTATCGTATCTACTGTTGGAACCAATATTTCGTATCTTAAGATAGTTGGAATCTGTTTCGAAGTGCAGAGATTGTAGATACATAAATAAAGCAAGATAAATGCGCAGCAGCAATGCGTCTGCACTACCTACACCAGATAAAACATCAGAATAAAATATATTAACGTTCCCTTTTTCTTATTGTTCTAGATCGACCACATTCAGATTCGCCGGATGCCAAAAAGCCTGCGTTATAACTGTAGTATAATTCCTTGTAATTTCTTTAAATAGTTAAATAATTTGTTACCCTGTAATAATAAATTTTATTAATTTTAGAAAAAGCTCTGGAACTCTCCTGTGATCTATGTGTATAATTATTTTTTGTGTAATTATAGATTGTTTGTAGATACATAATATTGTCCGGTATCATGGATTCTGTACAAAGTAATGGTATGCTAGAAAGTAATTAGTTTTCACATTCAATGTGATTTGTGTGTATATGAAATGTATAATTTCTTGTAAATATTTATAGGTAATGTGCCTAGAACCAATACTAGTTCATGCTTTGCTGAATCGATGCCGTCCATTTTCTAGCTCCTTTTATTCCCAGTGCTATTCATAAATTATGCGCAAACGCAATATTGCTTCTGGTACCGTTCAAACTGGAGGTTGCAAATCCCTATTGAATAAAACAATAGCTAGTCTGGTTTTAGCTCGTCGCTCTAATTTCTCTTTCTGCCTTTGAATATAAAAAAGTAACGAACGCAAAGTTTGTATCAGAAGCAGTCGTTACAAAACCTTGTTTACTCCGAACCATTTTTCGGTGTTTTTCGACGATGTTAATAGTCATTATTTATGAGTTTCAAAAATTGCTCTTTATTGGGTAATAAAGACCTTACTTAATAAAATACCTAAATTTAATAGAAGAAAATCATTACATTTCCCTATTTCTTTCTTCTCCGAATAATTACGTAATGTATTTATCTAATTCCGTCCATTGTTGGAGTATAGGTAGAATTAAGAATATTGTACAAAATAGTCATAAGTTTGTAAAATATAAAACAGGAACAACTATTTGTAACAGGAGAAGTATCTAGTATTAATTTATGATCACTATTTTGTTGCGTTTTACGAAGTAAAGACTATTACGACCTTCGAGTTTTGATTTATTTTTCCTTTCATAGTTTAACAAAAAATAATTCAATAAAACTACAATTTTTAATTTTAATATTAGATTATATTTTCATATACCCATTGAAATACGACAAAATTGCGACAATAATAATGATTACATAATAAAATTATCTTATAAATAATTATACATCTTAATCAGGTCTGAGGCGCATATTCCTCATCAGACATAAATCTCTGGCAGTATCTTTTCGACCATAAGGAGTCGACAAATCATACAAGCGAAGTATCAAACTTATATTGAAACCATCAGGCAGACACTTTATAAGTGTCGGTACAAGTTCACTTGGCATCTTTTGCAAAACCAATGGAGCTCTATCTTGGCCACATTGTACAACATAAACTAGGAACTGCAGTATAAAATCTGTTTGCGGAGTAATATCGCCATTTTTTCCCGCCAGTTGAGAAAATGACGTGTACAACGTATCTAGAGCCGAAAGTAATGGTTCTTTTAATGTGGTCCCCGAAACAGTGTGTCCTTGGGAGTAATACATACTATCAGAAGAATTATCGTTCAGCCTTCTAACCTTAGACGAGCTACACATATCCAAGTCTTCTGCATCGTCATGACGACGCTTTCTAGACGGCTGCCCTTTGTTCAGATTACTGTATTCCAGAGCAGCATAAATGGAGTAAACTGCCAGTTTTGCTAATACTGCACATTGAGGTTCTACTAAATCCTCACATAACTTAGCATTATACAAGTATTGTGGCAAAACATGAAGCAAAAGAGCCTCTGTGCATTTCTCGATATCCAAGTGGAACATTGCGAGAACAATATCAATCGACCTATCCAGGTCTTCCTGGTATCTGAATTTCAGAGTTTCTTTAACTAAATTAGTAACGAACCAAATTGGACCTGTCGTATTCAAAAGACTTTGTACTATATGTGTGGAATCAATATGTAGATATCCTCTTGTTTTGATATCCTCCCAAACTGATTGTAATTGTTCCAAAATGGGTTGCCTTGATATAATGTTATGAGTTAAAACTAAAGCTTTCGACTTTGGCAATGAAGGTGGGTGAATATCATATTGCATCTTTCTTACAATTTGACACATTAAAACAGTTCTTTCCTTGAATTTATCAATTTGTGTCAACTCACCTTCAGTTGGGGCTACCAGAAATTGTTGAACCATGTTGATAGGTTTTAAAAACGCTTCTTGACTGACAACGTTAATGTAAGAACATAACCATACCGAAGCACATACCGCCAAACATGCCATTTTCTGTCTCAAGGAATCCAACATACATTTGACTTCTGAAGCCGTTAATGAACCATGTTCCCAAGCAATCAAAATTTCTTTTATCACTCCACTGACATTAATGCATAGATCATGAACTTTAATATTAGTATTTTTGAAGTCAAATTCTGGTGCACTTAAATGACTAATAAATATTTCAACAAGTTGTGGATCGCATTTTTGGAGGATCTGATCTGGAGATTTATGAACTCCCTGATAAGCCATGCATTCCTTTACCCATTTTTCGAAGAATGAGTCTCCATTTTCATCTAAGACAGCATCAGCGCCATAATCCTGAACAATGGAACACAAAATCAAAAATGAAATATCAAAAATGTATGCCTTGGATTGAGGAGCGCCTTTTTCATTTGCAGCGAGTAATGCAAATTCATTGAACTTGATCAATCTAGATACAAATAGTTTCAACTTTCCTTCTACAGTTGCAACAGCTAGTATGGTATCTAAAGTAGTCCCACCAACTACGATTTGACACAGCATAGCATATAAGGAGTCCTGTGTTTTGTGACAATCACCACCCAAAGTTTTCAAAATGCCTGTTAAAGTCGGTTCTGCTCTAGTAATAAACAATGGAACTGAACCCTGAAGGCCAGTTGGTTCTAACTTTTGCAATTTAACATCTTTGTGTTCTCGCTTTTGTTTGAAGTATGCCAAATGGTTTTCCGATACTACATTTAGTTTGACTAAAGGTTCTAAAAGGGACACTATACTATTGCAACTGTTCTTTGTATCAACAACATCTAAAAGTGGTGTTGACTGTAGCAGTTTTTCAAATGCTTCAGCAATTTCTATTGAATATTCACTATCCTTAGCTGTAGTACCACAAAGATTGTGTAGATAATGAATGACTTGTGGTACTTTCAGGAAAGTAAAGGCAGCCCACAAAGATTGTGTTGTAGAATCCTTGCTTGAATCATTGAGGGAAATAAAACTCGCTCTAATAAGTTCACAGTATAGTCTTGATAATGGGTATCCTTTAATTCGCTGTACCATGAGTAGCTGACTGGATAACTGTTGCATATTAGCACTAGGGTTAGATAGCACATTAACCGCTATAAGTGCTTGTAAGCAATGAGTTACTGGCTCGGGCTTATTGTTCAATGGTGCTATTTTATCAATATCCATATTGCATATCTTTTGTAATGTCTCGTGTATAGTGACAGGCGCCTTAAACTGAGTGTTCATCATCATAAATGCTGTGATTTCCTGGCATTTCTTTGTGACTTCATTGTACTCTTTAGGATCATTCTGTTTAGCCAAATAGAACATGGCTAGTAAAAAATCAGCATTTATTATAGAGTTTAACAGAGATGTGGACTTTTCCAATAATTCTTGACTTTGAATAGGATTTGATGATGGATATTTGCTGAGACAGTAATGGTATACTTGCAACAGCCACAGGATTATCGATGACACAGCAAACGACAATACCTCTTCTTCCATTTTGCCACGACAGGTTATGCCATCAAGGACACCTTCCAAGAACTCAAGTAAGCTCATGATGCAATGAGGTTTATGAAATGCATCAAATTTTGCTATTCTTTGCAAAACTGCGGCATACGAGACAAGATGAGATGCCAGTGAATGTTTCAAATATGATATCACTAACTGATTTGCTCCACAGCCAACCATCGCTTGTTGAAGTATGCAGTCTGCTAGGTTATACAGATCACCGCTAACTCCCCGCGGGAGAATAGTCTTGATGTTGATTCCCCATTGTATATCCGTCCACCGCTCCCTCCAAGCTTTGAGGATCAGTGCCTTCAACGAGCTAGTTTTACTCGTCACTTTGGACGCATCCATTGTCACCATATTTCACTTTTAGCACACAAGAATTAAACAAAAATGTGATAACTTTTAGTTTTACACAGTCATTGTATTGTTTTAATTCAATAAACCCACAATATCTTTATTTTGACCACAAGCCAGCAACGTCAAATATGGTAAGTTTTCTATTCCAAACGTCACGTACCATTCAAGAAAGAAATGTTATCCTATTGGATACTGCGTTGACATTACATTTTGACCAATCAAATAACGATAATATTTAGTAGTGAACAAACCTGTCATTTCATTTGGTTTAACGTTTTATGACTGCTGATGGGCGAAGTTTAAAGGAACAAACATTTTACAAATAATAAATATCTTTGTTACTCCTATTCTTTTAAATTCCTTTTTTAAATTTGTAATAAAATGAAATATTTATTTTACATCATTGTTTTAATGATTTTTTTTTATTACAAGATAAGTAACATGTGTGGTTGTGTCAAACAAAACGTAACGTCAAAACTTCAGACACCCTCGTGGTTTGTTTACAAACTTTACCGAGTTTAGAAATTGGAAAGAACATAGTGAAAATAAAATGAGTTTCAGAAACTACAAAGATAAGATTGAGGAAGGAGATACAGCGATTCTGTATCTAAGTAACAACTTATATGCTATAGATGTGCGGCCAGAAATGAAAAATAAAAAAGGTGAAATAGTAGAAAATGTGTACCAAACTCCTTTCGGTGCGTTAAAAGTAAGAACTCTTATTGGAGCCAACTATGGAAGCCGGGTAAGTGTTCAAGTAACATAAATTCTACTTCAAATTGTATAGTAATTAAACAAAATATTTAATTTTTAAAGATTTATAACCTATCTCATTTACCTATTAGTTCTACCTCCCATAGATTGTCAAGTGAAGAAACTAAGAAAGTACTCAATTCATTTTATAAAAATGGAGCAGAAATGAAATAGTGAAACAAAAAGATTATAAAACTATTCATAGACAATAAAAAAAATTAATAACAAGAACATAAAAACAGAATTTAATATTCATGAAATTATTACTAAATAAATCCACTAACTAGGTACTTGTCCATAAAAATAAATTTAATTTCTTTTGTAATATTTTTAATAAGGTGGAGTTGTCAAAAGGTTGGGGCCATGTTATACAGCCTACTCCGGAGCTGTGGTCGTTGACCCTGCCTCATCGCACACAGATTATATACACTCCAGATATAAGCATGATTCTGTTACAACTTGATTTAGTTCCTGGATCCATTGTTATTGAAGCTGGTAAGTTAAGCAATATAGTAATTCTTAAAACATTGATATATAAATTAATAAAGTTTTTGATTGACCTCTGACAAATAAAACAAATACTTAATAAATTCTCTTAGTAAACCTATGACTGTGACATGCATTAGGCTCAATAATGGATGCTTTCCACCCTTTTCAGTTGTAATGTTATTTTATGATATTTATACTTCACATTTTTAATTTTTAGTAATTTTGTAATTTTCTTACCATTAATTTTGTTCTAACTATATCATTCCATAGAGTCAATTTCCATAATTAAAAAAAAAAACATTTATATTTAACTAGCGACCCGCCCCGGCTTCGCACGGGTGCAATATGCATGTATTATACATACAAACCTTCCTTAAGAATCACTCTATCTATTAAAAAAAACCGCATTAAAATCCGTTGCGTAGTTTTAAAGATCTAAGCATACATACGGACATACAGCGAAAGCGACTTTGTTTTATACTATGTATTGATGTAGGTACTGGAAGTGGCTCCCTGACTCATGCCCTAATAAGGAGAGTGAGACCACATGGCCATGTCCATACATTTGACTTCCATGAACATAGGAGTAAGGTCGCTCAGGAGGAATTTCAAGAACATGGTATTGGGGATTTTGTTACAGTAAGTAGAAAAAGCTGTATTTTTAATACTATCTCCTTACTTTGAATCGACAATGGATTATTAGACTAGTTAGTTTACATAATTTTGTATTTTAAATTATTAATTTTATTCGTATCTATTGTAAAAAAGGCTTAATTAATTAAGGCTTGGTTAATTTTGAATGTAAATATTAAAAGAAAGAGTACTACTGAAAAAGTAACTACGTAGTAAGTATGGTATCATTGTGTCACTACAAATTGGTTAGTCTTTTTTTTATACAAGGTCCATAATATTTTACTTTTCCTTTACATTGAGTTCACTTTAATATTGTATACATAATTATTATTATATGTAAGTAAGTATAAGTTTTCAATTATACCTATATAGTGTTTATTGAATGTTATGATTGTGAGATTTGTTATTTATTGTACTGGTATGTACATTGTCTATTTATAAAGGTTTAAAATCACCTGCTACTTTCATCTCTGCACTGCTTAAAGGTAAGGTTGACTGGGAGACAATGCCCAAGGCATTAAGTCCACCTGTACACACTTGTTGTATTAAGTTCAAATAAATAAATTTTCAGAGGACTTAGTACAAGTTTGTTTTACGTTAACGAGACCGCGTTCGGCGCTCTGATTGGTTAGTTCATTGGAGCCGGTCAACCAGAGCGTAGAACCCGGTATCGTTTCGATTTCGATTTCTTTAAACATAAAATAAAAGAAACTCGTACTCAGGCCTCTGGCTACGTGTACTTACAATAATCTTGCATTTTAGGCGAAACACCGAGATGTATTAGCTGATGGATTTGGTGAAGAACTAAATGGTAAAGCTGATGCAGTGTTCCTCGATCTGCCAAGCCCTTGGATCGGAGTGCCCCATGTCCTCAATGCTATTAAGGATCAAGGTAGGTGCCTACTACAATGTAGTACAATGTATCTAACAGTAACTATTGATACCCGAATCAAACGAAGCAAGTTGATAACTTTTATGAATATAATTATATTTTTTTAATTATACTGAAATGCTCCGTGATTCCTCTTATACTTGGGAAATCGAATTTTATTTTATGGAATTGAGCGTTAATTAGCAGACGTATCACCTCACCACGACCAGCGCCGCCCATAGACGCCGGCAATATCGGATGAGTCACGTGTGCGTTGCTGACCTCCTAAAAAGGAGTAGTATTGCTCTTCGATCGATAACTTACGCAGACTTACCAGTCGCGGAGAACCTGACGGGTTACCAGGGCTCCGGCTCGACGTGCAGGAGAAGGAGCGGGGTGGTTTTTAGTCAGTAAGAGTCTGACGCTCCCTCCGGCCTCACCCAGGCGGGAGCAGTCATTCGATGATTTTCCTCCCTTAAAAAAAAAGCAGACTTACCAGATTTAGATACTTATGAAATCTTTATACACAGTCAACATTTCCTTCTTACAACCATACCTTAGTAACCTAAGGAATTGCACTACCTATTCATTATCTACACTTACTAGCTAATTACGTCAAAAAAAGCACAAAACACATTTGTAGTACGCACGCGAATACTTAAGCGGTACTCAGCAACATTTACCCAGAAACGCTTTTAATTCCAAGTCCATTACAAAACCATTAAATTCCATTGACGACAGGCCTCTATTTGTATAGAACAGACACAAGATCATACAATTTATACATTTATACATATACTACCTATTTATCTATAAATCTATATGATTCATACTAGCACATACCAGCGACTTTTTTACTCAGATTCCAGTTTTCAAACCAAATTAAACTTACCCTATATATTGCCTACACTTATTACATAAGTTACACAACAAACAGTTTCATTAAGGTATGTTCATTAGATCCGCAAATTAGCGTTTGCAAATATTAAAAACAGACTCTTTTTCAAATTCATATTTTTTTCTATTACCATTTCCTTAACACCCTATTTTATCGAAAAGTATTTAATGTATTACGGAGAACCACATTTTTACTATTTATAATTTGCTTGTAACTATACATAAATAAAATGGTGGTCCGATTCTCCGATAAGAAATCGTTTGTACGCAAGCGGAAAATGGTTGATCCTTATAAATTCACCAAAGAGATTGCGATCTGATTCCACCGTGTCGATTATTCAGATCCCCTAGTAAGTTATTCGATTCTATTCATTAATCTGTAAAGTAGTGAACCAGATAACGAATTCTTAATCGATACATCGATTTGTGTCGATTTGAAAGTAGTTGAAATCCTAGCATTGTTTAGGGTTGCCAGATTGCTTCTGAAAATAGATTAGGACAAATTGCATCTTAAGACTCTTGCTCATCACATATTTCATTAACAAAATATTTGAAGTTAAATTCATCGGAATAAATGAAATTTAAAATATCGTTAATCTTTACCATTCACGGGACCACAGGCAACAGGAGGCGTACAACGGGCTAAAGCAAACTGCACAGAGGCCCTTTAGACAACTTTAATCTAAAAATAAAGGACACACAAACCGGCGACTATCCCTATATGCACTATAGAAATGCACCCAACAACAATCCCCGGTTATTGTAGAACTATTGTAGAAATATCGTTAGTAATTTTTGTCTTTTCACATTTCATGACGAATATATTCAGAATGTTTGACCACTTTTGCGGATGACAAAATTCTTGTACAACATTCATATCCTCTTAAAACTTAGATTTTTATACAACCCCCCCCCCCCCTCATAACACATGAGCGTTAAAAGTATCACATTAAAATGACACTGATAATTTCGATATTTTTTTTTTAAAAAAACTTTGCCCCACACTAGGATTTTCTCCTGTGTCGTGGGTGCGTTTACAAACATACAAGTTCACATACACATACTTACATAAAAGGATACTTGAGCATTTTTAGTCATTGAGAAACAGAAATGTTTACACTCACAACCCTAAATTCATTAGTCTAATTGGTACAGCGGTTATAACATAAGTAACCGATAGATACGCATCGCGAGCCGATCCGGGTGACAAACACAATAACTGCTGCTTAGCTGCTTACCCTTGAGAAAGCTTTTAGCCAGCCATTGTCAGCGGTTCTTACGACCACAGGCTATTTTATTTTATTTATTTTATTTTATTTACATCGGAAAACATACAGTATTAACAGCCAACAAAAACACAATTTACGCAACTATTAACCAATTACATGTTTTCGCATTTAGTTATCTATGAAGAACACGCTTGAAAGAGAAAAAATGACTAAAGAGGTAATTAGGAATTATGGTAAATACAATAATATTAATTCTTGCAGTGCGAAATGGAACAGC